TTGTGGAAAGAGGGCCAGCCAGCCATCCCTACTAACCAATGGAGCAGGATCCTGAACATAAGAGTCCTGGGGATGGCAATGCCCACAGCCATCATCCTGGGAAGCAACCCCTGGAAAGATGCAGCGAGGCCCCTGCTCCTGCAGGTGCTGCAGCCACAGCTACTGAAGAAAATTTATGCCAACAAAGTCCTTGGCACTGCCAAATCGTTCGACGTCAGAAACTGATGAGATTTTATCAATGGAAATGACATTAAAGGAGAGGCATTAGCACCTGTTTTGCCTCTGCACCCTAAGGATCATGGGACCTTCCCATCCGACTTGCAGCTGAAACTTTCCAATTAGAATGTGAGCTCCTTGAGAGCAGGGACTGCCTTGCTTTTCTACCGTATCCCTGTACTTAGCATAGTGCTTTGCATACAATAAGTACTTCATAAAGTCTTTTTCATCCATTCTTTCATTTAAGTGAGGCAGAGACTGCCTGTTTGTAGCATACAGCCTGACATATAGCAGGCGCTTAATAAATGCTTGCTGACTGTGTTTACACGTCACACTGCCTCTCTTAAAAAATCTCTGTCCACCTCCTTGCCCCTCCATTGTTTTACACCACCTAGGAAGAAAAGGCTGCACTCTCTCAGGCTTCCTTTCAAACAAATGCAATCTCATGCTTTTGCTCCCCACCCCCACCCCTACCCCTCAGCTCTGGGCTCTCTGTGTCTGTGAATAAAGTCCCCTCGTACAATCTCGACGTAGGGGTGCAAATCAAAACAGCATGGAGGGAGCCACTTGTAGCTGCCCCAGAATTCACCAGACCACACCACTCTGCTGGGAGGGGAAAGATATCTCTTTCTTCACAAGAGGAAATTGCTTGCAGATGTCCAAATACCAGATTACACCAACATCAGAACATACAAGCAAACCACAAGCCTGGCCAGAGGAGAGAACACCCAATTTCAAAAGGAACACATAACACCAGGGAAAGAGAAAGCAGCTGCTGGATCATCCCCGGGGGTCCCGGCAAGACTGACTCACAGATCTGTCAAAGGTTCCTAGTTCTGCTGTACTGCAAGTGTGCGTGTGCCTTTTATTGCTCCAGCCCTGGCTGATCGTCCTCCTCTGAATTCTTTACAGGTGCATGCAGTGTCTAGACCACCTAATTTTTCACTGAATGACCACAGAATCACAGATTTAGAGCTGGTGAGGAAACTGAGGCTCAGGAAGGTAAACATGTCTTGAGAGAGGCAGTGTGCTTCAGTGAAAAGAGCACTGAGCTCTCAACTCCAAGCTCTACTTCCTAGCCACGTGACCGCACACCTGACTTTCCCAGTATGTTCAATGAGAAGCCTGGATTAGATGATCTCTGTGTTCTCTTGGTTCTGGATCAGATGACTATCTACTTCACAGTGTTGCTGTTGAGAAAAGTGCTGGCTCAGTGACCCCACGCCAGTCCCTAACCTCCTTGTTCCCTGACTTGTAATATGGTACCAGTCAAAAGGTTGTTGTAAGGGGGGAAAAGTATGCTAAGTCAGTCAGCTAGTGGGGCAGTGCACAGAGAACCAAGCTTGGAATCAGGAAGACCTGAGTTCAAATCCATCCCCAAATACTTACTAGCTGTGTGATCTTGGGCAAATCACTTAACCTCTATTCACTTCAGTTTCTTCAACTGTATGTATAACAGGCATAACCATAGCACCTACCTCCTCAGTCAGCTATATGGTACAGTGGATAGAGCAGTGGGCTTGGAAGCAGGAAGACTCAAGAGTTCAAATCCAGCCTCAGACACAAGTCACTTAAACCCTGTTTGCCTCAGTTTCTCATCTGTTAAATGAGCTAGAGAAGAAAATGGCAAAGCCTCCAGTATCTTTGACAAGAAAACCCCAAACTGGGGTCACAAAGAGTTAGCCGCGACTGAAATAACTGAAAAACCACACCTCCTAGGGTTGCTGGGAGAATCAGCTGAGATAATATTTAGAAAGTGCTTAGCTGGGGCAGCTAGGTGGCGCAGTGGATAGAGTACCGGCCCTGGATTCAGGAGGACCTGAGTTTAAATCCGGCCTCAGACACATAATACTTCCTAGCTGTGTGACTCTGGGCAAGACACTTAACCCCAATTGCCTCACTAAAAAAAAAACAAAACAGAAAGTGCTTAGCACAGTGCCTGGGACACAGTAGGCACTTTACAAATATTGGCTATTATTAAGTGTTTTAAGAGCTATAAAACTGTCACTTAATGCTATATATTATGGATTAAAATATTAATGGTCATTATAAAATTTAAACTATTATTTTAGTGCAGTGGGAAAAATCTAGGACGTGAGAAAACTTTGCCTTTTTCACTTTCTACCTGTATGACCTTCATCAAATCACTTAATTTCACAGGTCCTCAGTTTCTTTATCTGCAAAAGGAGAGAGCTGGATTACATAACTTTTAAGGTCCATTTCAGATCTAAATCTGGAATCCTATAACCCAATCCTATGTGTTAGATTTTATCTCCCCAGCTAGATCATCAGCTGCTTAAGGTCAGAAACCAGACCTTTTATTTCTTCCGTGTCCCATATAATCCTACCCAGAGCATATGAAAAATGCTTAATAAATACATGACTACTTGACATGCTGAGCTGTACTTGGTCTAGTAGACAGAGGGTTGTACTTTTGAGTCACGAAGACCTAGGTTCAAATCATGCCTCTGGAAGAATTTAGAAATAGAGGGGATGCCCATCAATTGGGGAACGGCTGAACAAATTGTGGCATATGAATGTAATGGAATACTATTGTGCTATAAGAAATGTTGAGCAGGCAGACTTCAGAAAAACCTGGAAAGACTTGTATGGTCTGATGCTGAGTGAAATGAGCAGAACTAGGAGAACGTTGTACACAGTAACAGCCACGCTGTGTGATGACTAACTTTGACAGACTTAGTTCTTCTCAGCAATTCAAGGATCTAAGACACCTCCAAAAGTCTCATGATGGAAAATGCTATCCGCATCCAGAGAAAGAATTACAGGGTCTGAATGCAAATCAAAGCATATTTTCCTTCTGTTTTGTTTTGTTTCCTCTTTCTTATGGTTCCTCCTATTGATTCTAATTCTTCCTTACAACATGACTAATGTGAAAATGTTTACTAGGAATGTTTACCTAGAGCCTACATCAGATTGCACACCTTCTGGGGAGGGAGAGGGGGAGAAAAGTTTAAAACTCAAAAGCATATGGAAGTAATTGACGAAAACTAAAAATAAATTAATAAAAAAAAATAAATTTTTTTTTTAAAATAGCTGAGTGACAAAGGACAAGTTAACTTAACCTCTCTGATAATACCTTCAGGGCCCACATCAGAGAATGACAGTGAGAATCCTTCACTCATTCACTGCTTATCCTTCACACTCAAAGAGGACCAATGACATCATGATGTTGGGGTCAAGGTACAGGCTGATCAGACCAATAAGAGCATGGAAGGCTCTACCCTAGGTTGGGCACAAACAGCCCCTATGAACATTTGGGATGGAGCCGTCTCCAGATTTGCACATCTCATGTTTCCTTGGTGCTGTGGCAGTTCTGCTTTGCTCACAGAGCACAGTGTCTTCTTTGATGCGGGCACGCCATCTGTGCCAGCATCTCTCATGTCTCACAACTGATACTAAAGTGAGAACCAAATGAGGTAATGTATGAAAAGTTGGTTCTTGTGCACTAAAGCAGCACAAAAGGCTTAAGGAAATCAGATGTGTTCTCTCCATGGCATCCTTAAGTCACAATAAAAACTGGGTAGGCTGGCAAAATAATTTTTACATGCTTGCAGATGTTTAAGCTTCAATTTCTAATACTTATTCAGTACTAGCTACCAAAGATCACCGTTAGGTGCTGGTGGCAATACTGGCCTTACAGAGCCTCACAATCAAATGAAGGATTCCTTCACTCAACACACGTTTATGCAATGCCAGGCTCTGGGAGCACAAAGGTAACACAGCCCCTGTCCTCAAGCAGCTTATATTCTATCATATTCTACTGGGGTAAAAAAAACAAAGACCACAATGCAAAGTGATTCACAGGAAGTACATAAAAGTCCTTTTGTTTTGAAAAGCGCTAATGTAGTTACGATGTAATATCAAACATTAGAGGGACCTGTTTGTGCACATAAAATAAAGGTTAAGAACTATAACAACAGATGTTATCTAAGGCCCCTTCCAAGGGCAGCAGTGGACAGAGGACTGGAGTCAAGAAGACTAATCTTCCTGAGTTCAAATTTGGCCTCAGATACTTATTAGCTCTGTGACTCTAGGCAAGTCACTTCCCCCTGTTTGCCTCAGTTTCTTCATCTGTAAAATGAGCTGGAGAAAGAATGGCAAACCACTCCAGTATCTTTGCCAAGAAAACCCTAAATGAGGCTAAAAAGAGTCAGCCACAACTGAAAAACAAAAACAAAAAGGTCCTTTTCAATTCTATAGTCTCTGATCCTATGACTATATCAGTGGTGTGCTGGTAAATGTTTAACAACAAGCTCTCTAAAAAATACATAGCCATATCCACATATGCACATGACAGACTTCTAAGCATTGTATAAGCCAATTAGCACAGTGAGTAGGGAGAGTAGTAGACTTGGAGTCAGAAGACCTGGGTTCAAATCTTGCCTCACATACTCAGTAACCATGTGACTTGGGACAAATTACTCTATTTTCTGAGCCTCAGTTTCCTCATCTATAAGAAAGGGAAATAACAGCACCTACCTCTCAGAATCGTTTGTGGAGATAAAATGAAATAATGTACGTAAAGAGCTTTGCAAACCTTAAAGCACTATATAAATGTCAGCTATTAGTAATACCAGGTCTTCCTGACTCCAAGACCAGTGCTCTCCCCAGGCACTATGCCAACTGTCTCCAAGGCACTTCACTCCATCTTTGACCTTTTTCACACTGGATTGTCCTGAATGTTTTGGGAATCCAAATGCATGGAAGCCCATCCTCCCAGACCAAAGAAAAATCAAAGGCTGGGAGAAGGAGGAGATCCTGACCTCTCTCCATCTGGCTCCAGCGCTGCTAGAGATGTACACATTGGTCTTGCTCGCCATGTTCTTCCCAACTGAACCTACAGGGGGAAGGAGAAGAATGTTTTTTAATTCTAGAAACATGCGTGGGCAGCAATCACCTCCTCCAACAAGCAACTCACTGTACTTTTCAACACCATCACTTTTATGAAGAACACATCAGAAAAAACGACCTGCACCCATCTGTAAATGATAAGGCAGTTTACATTCCAAGGTAAACATGGACATACCAGTGGCAACGATGAGTCCGGGAGCTGACTCCTTGGAGAGGATGGGCATTCTCCGGAGCTGGAAGTTCAGCAGCTGACTAAGGCGCTGGGCCAAGTGCAGGGAACAGCCACGAGAAAGCTTGGAGACAGAAGTTCCAGACACTTGTTAGAGTCTGATAAAGGGCTTAGATTTCCTACAGAAGACTGAGCCTGCTGTGTAAAGGCACCATGGCCAGACAGGGAAGGAAAGGAATTCACTTAAAGGAGATCCGACTCAACTCTTCCAGGGTCCTTAAGGTGAAGAGGAGAGTGGGCCAGCTCCTCCCCTGCGGTGGTGGGTGTGGAGACAGGAGTGGCTGGGAGGACTGCCTCCTCAAAAAGAAGCTCAAAGAACAGCAATTAGGAATCACCTCAACTCAAACATAAAGAAGAACACAATTCTCTTCATTTCTGCTTCAGATAACCTCTCAAGTGGCTTGGAACTAAAGGAAAATGAAATGATCCCATAGTCCTTATTTTCCAAGTCAGTGGAGACAAGTTTTTAAATGTGATTTAAGTTATTCTGACAGTGACAGAATGAAAACCAAGAACTACAAACCAGAAAGGCCCTGGCTGATAGATTACCCCACAGACCAACACAGGAGATGCAGTCACATACAAAGTGGATCCTTTTTTGCAAAGGATTAAAAATTAAAGCATGTTGCATAAGGAACAAACTTTTTAATATGAGACTTTCAAATTCTTCGAAACTTCCTTATTGGGGTCAGCTAGGTGGCACAGTGGATAGAGCACCGGCCCTGAAGTCAGGAGGACCTGAGTTCAAAACCGACCTCAGACCAAACACTTGTCATTTATTAGCTGTGTGACCCTGGGCAAGTCACTTAAGCCCAACTGCCTAAAAAACAAAACAAAAAAAAAACTTCCCTATCACTTGGGTTTATGCCCTTATGCTTTATTGCCAGAAAAGGCAAAAGGGCAAAACACACACACACAAACCCAGTCCTAAAGATCACTGCTTAGGTAACAGATTCCAGGGAGAGCCTAGAATTTCCAGCTATAAAAACTGAGTACGCATTTACAATGCAGGTAATAACCACAGCAAGAATTTCCTGATCTACAAATTCTTGTTTCAAAAAGGCCTCCCTGATGACTATTTAACTTGCCAGCTTCGTCACTGGGGAATAAAAACTGGAGCAACTTGAACTGGATCTCAAATATTTATTTGCTCAATCCCTTGTTTCCAAGCTCATTTTTTACTTTACCTGCAAGAAAATCTATTCATTTATGGCTTTCCTGTATCCTAGGGCAATCAGATTTTAACTGCTCCTACACATTCTGGCTTTCACAAGTTGACACCACAAACAGAAACTAAAAGCTGATTAACGGCCAGCCTTACAGTTCTTGAGTAAATACATTTGTCGGAATTGTCAGAAGAAAAGCAAGACAATTTAGCGGCAGAAGTGAGGTACTTTCACCTTAGCTGAACTTTAAGGATAGCAGTAGTGTTCTTCCCAAGCAGGGCTTAATCCCTTCCAACCTTTAAAACCCAGAAGGGTCTGTCTGAAGTTATCATAGGTCTCTCTGTTCTATAAGACACCAGAATGATGGATTGGGACCTGGTGCCAGGTAAAGTGGAAAGAACAAGACATAGATTCTGCAGGCAGAGTCTTTGCTAGTAATATCCAAAGGGCCACATATTCAGGTATATGAAGTTAGGAGGCTGTGTGAACATGAGCAGATGCATATAAATTATATCTCTCTGAACAGACTGACATTTTCAAATGCAAATGCATGTGCTTCCTTAAAACATGAACTGAATTATTTTTCTCCTTGTTCTTTCTTGCCTGGCTCATCCCACTGCCCCAAATCATTATGTACAGCTGGGGCAAAGGGAATGAGACACAGACTCCCCAAGGCCACAATGCAAAGATCTGCATTACGTGGAAAGGGGGAAGGGTGGGAGGCAAAAAGTCTGTAGATAAAGAAGTGGTGAAAGAAGGTCACCAAGGAGAAATCTTCCTACTAAAACTTAGGTGGTGATATATACCAAAATAAAATATTTTGTGATAGCAAAAGAATGTAAACAAAGTAGATGCCCTTTGGGAAAAGGGATATCAAACTGTAGTACTGGATGTCTGTAGTGAAATATTATTGGACTGTAAGAGAAATAAGAGAAATTCAAAGAAACTTGGCAAGATTCATTTGAAATGAGAGTAAAGTAAGCAGAAGCAAGATAAAAAACATAAAATGTCAAAATAATGTAAAGAAAAAAAAATAATGTGAAAAGACATCAGAATTCAGATTAATGCAATGACCAATGGTGATGCTAAAGGATTGGTGATGAAATATGACTTTAGTAGAGAGGTGGTGGACTATGAGTATAGAATGAGGCATGCGCTGTCAGACATAGTCAATGTATCTGTTTCTTTTACTTTTTTATTACAAGAGAGCATGAGGGAGGAGCAGAATAATGGGAAATGAAAATGATATAAAAAAAGAAACCTAAAGCATCAATAAAGCTTAAAAAAAACTTAATGGGTAACTTTTTGAGAAAATAAGACAGATAGGAATCACAAGCAGGACAAACTGTAGAACTCTAACACATGGCTGTGACTATAGAATTGTCAAAGAAATTATGTAAGAAATTATAATTACTATAGTATTATGTACTGATAAAAGCTGATAGTGTATAATACCAATGGGGTTCCTTTATTATATCACCTTATTTTTTTCTCATTTGCATTTTCCCCTTTAAAGGTGAGAAGAGACAGACCACTACAGTTATAGTCACTTTTCTCCTTGTGAACATGGAAAACAAGATTAAGCGGCTGATACCTCACAGTCGATCTTTTCTCCATATTCAGTGAAGGCTGGAGCCTGAAGGAATTCCCAAGTTCCTCCTTTGTCAAAGGTGATGACTGACCTCATGTTCTCTTCACTCAAAGACCCATTAATCAGGGTGGCAATGTAAACCCCTTGGACTCCTTCCACTCGGTGAAAATCAGCAAAGGGTTCATTTGCAAAGTACCTATAACCAGAGAAAGTGAGTAGAGCTAGAAAATGGGAAATGCGCTTGATTAGCATTAAGAAAAACAGAGTCATTTTATTTTATTGGAAGCTGAAGGATGCTGGCCCAATCAGCTGCTCTGTAAAAACCTCGAAGACAATAGACCAGAAGCATAGGGGACAGTGGAAAGGGTACTGGCTCTGGATTCACGAGAGATCTGGATTTGCAGTTTGCTATCTCTTACAGGAACCTTATTCTGATGCCCCCCTGTTGCCAATATGCTACCAGAAGAAGATGTTTTGTACCTATTTTATGTCTAATTATCTACCCACAGGCTGTGCCCATCCCAAAATGACATAAGCTCCTTGAGGGCAAAGACTGACTGTTTTATTTCTGCCCTTACAGGGTCAGCACCTAGGACAGTGCCTGACATGTAGTAGAGTGCATTTAATGAATGCCTGTTCAATAGAACTCATTCTGGCATAGATATCTGTTAGCTGTATGGCCTTGGACAAGTCACTTAACTCCTTTGAGTCTCAGTTTCCTCATCAGGAAAACAGAGATAATAATACAACTCATACAGTTTTAACCAAAGAGCTACAGAAACATGAGTTGTTATAATATCATCATCATCATTGTTATGCAAAATCAGAGCTAAGAAACACCATCATTTGCTCACTAGCAAAGTTCTCTAATGTCTATGCCGAGGATAATAAGCTAGGTTTCCAGACACCCGAGATCATCACTGATGCACAGGAAGGGCTTGAAGTCTGAATGCCATTGATGAGACATTCAATCTGATTCTCTAACCTGTAGCTCCAAGGAAATCTCTCCAAGTATTTATGCCGAAGATTGGAGGGGAATAATTCGTTTTCCCTTTCTTGTGGGATCAGCACAGGGTAAGTTTGCTCTACAATGAATGAATAAATGAATTTTTAAAAACCATTCATTAAGCACTCATTAGGTCCCAAGTGCTGTGTTAAAGCCCTGGGGATACAAATAGCCCCTCCTCTCAAGGAGGCCACACTATAGCTTGAGGAGGCCATACATATAAGAGAGCTCCATTACAGGATGGATAAAGAGGTCTGAGAGTCATTAAGGTACAAAAGCAGGGGAGAGATGGCAATACCCAGGCTCTCTTGGATTACGTCTCAGGTTATGCTCTTGGGCTAGATGAGATGGTAGTACCCAAGGGTCTGACGGGCATAGAATCAGGGCAGAAGCTAAGACCTACTAGTTCTCCATTTTACCAGAAGGACTGTGGTTTTCCCAGGCTTAAGGCGGCATGGTGCTGCACAATACAAAGCTAAATGCAATCAGATACCTATTTGTGAAAAGTGGATCTCAGGGACCCAGTTTCCCCTGGTGGCTAGCTAAGCCAGGATATTATGAGTTTCACTGTGGCATTTTACATTTGAAAAGCAGTTTCACCCCAAATTACAGCACAGATGATAACCATCATGTTTCTGTGAGACTAGCACAAGTTTAGTTTTATATTTTTAATCTAGGGGGTTCAGACTACTTTACTAAAAGTTTAAGATTAAAAATGTTTTGCTTTTTATGCCCCCAATCCACCTTCAACTGTTCAAACATGAGAAGCCATCTGGTATCATGAAAAGGAAGTTGGCCTTTGAGTCAAGACTTAAGTTCAAATGCAGCCTCAGACATTTACTATCTGTGTGACCGTGGGCAGGTCACTTTACCTGTCTGCCTCAGTTACCTCATCTATAAAACAAGGATCATAACAGCACCCACCTCTCCAGGTAGTTCTAAGGAACAAATGAGATAATAACTATAAACATTTAGCATAGTGCCTGGTACACAGAAGTGCTACATAAATGTTAGCTATGATTATGCCCTAGAGATTGTGCTGGTATGTACTGGTAACAAGGATTCCTCATTCAAAGTTCTCTAGCCCAATGAAGTCACAGATCTAGTTAAAATAATAAAAACAAAAATTTGACCACAAAAATTTCTTTAGCAACTGATAGCTGCTGTGCTATCCTCCAGGCACAGGGAAATTCTACATTTGTTTTAATAAAAAGGCTTTCTCTCTCGAAGGAAGGAGGTAGGAAATGGAGATCAGGAGTCATAGACTTGTGTTAACGTGCATAGACTAAATACTGTAGTTCCAGATAAAATGCAGAAGCTGCAGCCTAAATATTATATGAAATAAAGTTTTCTACCTTAAATGGCAGGGGGGAGGGATGTGCAATGTAGCTCAGTTATTTTTTTGTCCATTTACCTTCTTTGGAGTCTACTTAGGGTTTAATATCTTGCTGTTCCATATTTACATCAATTTTCTCAACCTGTTGTTTTTTTAATTCTATTATTATCAATCGATTTACCTCAAGTTTAATAGCTTGTTTCAAATGTTAGGGAGGTCTGAGCTCCCCTAATGAAAACAAGCCCTGCTCTTTTCCCCAGGTCAGATTCCCTAAGCTGTCTATTTTTCCTTTCCAAACACAAACATGTCTTCTTCCCACACCTCATAACTTTCCACTTTTCTCCCAAACCATCTTTCCATCTCTCTTCTCTTTGCCTCCTCCCCTTCCTTCTGCAAAATCCCTAACTTCATCCTACAAGCAGTGTGAGAGGTTATTTTTCCATTTCATCCCTGGTCTGCCCTTGTCTGCACCACTCTCCTTACGGCTTCCCAGCCTGCCTCTCAACAAAGGTAGTTGTTATGCAGCTCACTGCCCTGCAGGCTGCCCTCAGATGCACTGACTGCAGGATCCAGCCCCGGCTAGCTGTCAACAGCCAAGCACAGCCAGCCTTCCATCTTCTTAACAATTCATCCACGCATCATCATGGGGGCCTCATGATTCCTCAGGACAGCTGTTCTTCCAACACCTCAATCTCCAAATGCTGCTAACCACAAGCACAGCGTTCAGCAGGTGTCTACCTTTGTTGCATTACTGAAAAGTCCTTTACTCAGATTTTTAAAGAATAAGTTAAAGCAGTGATGTTCCCAATGACAAGCTATGAAACTCTGTCCTCCCACTGAGCTCAGGATCCTTTGGCATCCACTTCAAACAGGTAAATGCAACATAAATACACAGTAATTTGAGGAGGTGGGAATACTAACAATTGGAACAATCAGAAAGGCCTCTTATGGCTAAGCCCCTGAAGGAAGCTACGGATCTCAAGAGGGAAAAGCAAGGAGGGGAGAGGATTCCAGGTATGGAAGACGGTGAGTCAGAAGATGGAATTTTGTAGACCAGGAGTGTCACCGAACGACAGAACGGTTGAGCAAGGAGTAACGTCATCAGCCTAGAAAGAGAGGCTGGAGCCCAGAACCAGAAGGAAACCTCTAACCTAATTCCTCTGACTTCCAAAACCAGTGCCCTTTCTACTCTAACAGAAGATATCTCTATGACTTGCCAGTTCACCTTCTAACTAGAATTTTTTAAATCAGACAATACAGGGCCACTCAAATGGGCCAATCAGAATAGACCAAGCCTTAAGAGAAAACAGATTGTGAGAAAGTCAGAAGGACTAATGGGACAGGCTGCTTTGTAACAGCAGCAAGGCAGGAGTGGAAAAGCACTGGACTGAGAAACAGGAGCTCAAGGTTCTGATTTAGTTCTGCTACTGATTAGCTGTGTGATCTTGAACAAGGCACCCAACTTCGCTGGGCCTCAGTTTCCTCAACATTCTCTTTTTCTTATCTTTTGTCTTTTCCTGCTGCTTCAAGGAGGAGGAAGAGGAGGAGAAGAAGGAATAATAACTGACATTAATATGTGCATACACCAAGGCTCTTTGATTCCGTCAGCATGAAAACTCTCAGACGACTACTTCCACTGACAGAAGCCCTTCTGTGAGTCCACAGATAAGTCCTAGAGTGGTGCCTGAAGCAGCTACATAGTTTACCCAGGGTCCTATAGCTAGCAAGGGTCAGACAGAGGAAGGATTTGAACCCACACCTTCCTGGCTCCAAGCCCAACCCTATCTTCTATCTATGTCACGAGTGATGTCTGGTGCATTAGAGTTTGCAAGGTACTTTAAATATGTCCTCTCATTGGAGCTCCCAAAGCAAACCTCTAACATAAATACTACAGGCATTATTAGCACCATTTTACAAATGAGGAAACTGAAACTCAGAGAGGTGACAGATGCCCAAGGCTCACTCCTCCCACCTGCCCCTCCCCAAGTCCTTAAAAGATCATCACCTGACCCTTACAGGATTACAGAGACTAGTTAGAAAAGACCTTAATTTAAGGTCTCATTAGATCTAATCACACACTCATTTTACAGACAGGAAAACTAAGATTCAAACACACTTATTTTACAGACAGGAAAACTAAGATCCAAATGTTAAGTGACCTGCCTAAGGCCACACAAACATTAAAAGACAGATGTCAGTTTGGTGCCCAAGCCTCTAATTCCAAATCCAGTCCTCTTTTCTGTACCACCTGCTTTCCCTCAAGAAATTTCCTACATAGCTCCTCCCTCTCACAGCCAAAGCCCTATATTCATGTCTCATCTCAAGATCTGACTTGTAATGCTACCACTCAACTGAAGTTGTTTGTTCCAAGATCACCAATGATCATTTGATTACTAAACTCCACATTTTTATACAGAACTCATCTCTGAATCCTTGGCAGCCTGTGACACTGTCCAACCACCCCTATTTCCTAGCTATTCTCTTATTTCCATGACTTTGCTGTCTGCTGGTTCTCCTCCTTCAGGTCTGACTACTTCTTCTTAGCATCCTTCCTTAGATCATTATCCAGCTTATACTCCCTAATAGGACAAGAAGGGAAGGGTAGAAAGGGGAAGGCAGAGAAAGGAGATGGAGAGAAGGAGAGGAAGAGGTCCCCATCACTTCAGAGGTGAGGAAAGCCCAAACCCTCTCCTCCTACAAACTTCCTGTTTTCATTGAAAACACTATGAGCCTTCCAGTTACTCAGGTTATTTTCAGGAAGACTGGCAAAGAAGCCATAAACCTCATGGCAAAAAAGGATAAAGACTATGGCCAGCCAGAGCAGTCTATTGGTGGTCTGCATGAGGATAATAAGCTTATGATAATAATAATATATAATAATAAGTATAAACCAGGTAGTCCAAGCTTCTCCCGCACAGAAAAGGCATACTGAATAAAATTCAATTCAGTCAACACTTTTGTAATGCCTGTAGTATACAAAGAATTGTTCTAGCCACCGAAAAAGAAGTAGATTTAGATAAAACACTGGTCATACATAGCCTTCTTGGAGTTTAGTCTCATGGAAAGCACGAGTAATTAGAATACATAATAATAAGTGCATTAGAAAAATAAAATGAAAGAGAGAGAGGAAGGAAGGAATGGAGGAAGGAAGGAAGGAAGGAAGGAGAGAGAGAGCAAAAGAGAGAGAATGAAAATTTAAAACAATATACTACAGGAGGTCCAAAAGAGGTTATTATTGAGAGGAGGGCCAAGGAAGGCTTACTAATATTTATTAGTTACTCTAATTAAATAAAAGACAATGGATGGAGTTGTGTTTAGAAGCAGGATGACTGAGTTAAAGTTCTACTTCTAATACACCCTCAGCTATGTGACCAAGGGCAAGTCATTTAACTCACTATTTCAGGCAACTTTCTCAACTGATCGACCAACCAATCGATAAGCATTTATTAATTACCAATGCAGCACTGTGTGCCAGACAGAAGTAAAACACTCCCTGATTTTAATGAGGTTATGTTTCTATTAATGATACAAAGCAGATACTAGATAATTGGGAGGGGCGTGCCAGGATGTCTGAGGGGGAGGGTCTGAAGTGGAAAAACTATCACAGAAAATGGTACTTGACCTGAATCTTGAAGGAAACTAGGGGAAACTAGGGATTCAGAGATTCCCTCAGACTATAAAACTGAAAACAAGCTGCTGCTCTGCAATGCTGTTTGGCTGTTGTCTACACAGGGAGCAACCCCAAGCCAGTAAAACCACAAATCTGGACTCCACCTGATTCCCTCCCTCCCAAAATTTTTAATGTGGAGAAGAAATAAAGAGGCTTTAATTTAATCCAAGCTACCTGTAAGCAAGTCATACCAACAATACTGATTTGCCGTGTCTGCCACCCCACCTCTAGCTATACAGACCCCAAAAAACAAAACAAAACAACTAAGTGACTTCAAAGAATCCACTACCATGTTAATATGTCTGCCTATGTTGACATAACCCTAAACCTCAAATAGATTTCTTGGCCCAGGAGTCTGGGGTGGAGACAGAGAGAGAGAGAGAGAGAGACAGACAGAGAGAGAGAGAGAGAGAGAGAGAGAGAGAGAGGTTAGGAGTAGGGAGGGAAAGAAGGTGTGGCTGTCATCTTACCTCACCAAGGTGTCACTGCCTGCTCCTCCAGGACTGTAGTACAGGACATTCTCCAAGGACAAGGAGAACTTCAGCCCCTCTGCCTCAGAGATGTACAAGTTGGTGCGGTTGTTGCTGTGACTGACACACACAAACACCTGGTCTTCTGAGGCATCCGCAATGTAATATTCCTTTGGGAACAGAGTGGAGAAACAGGTGAGGAAAAGTCTGCTTGCCCCAAAACTGGACCAGAAAGGATCTTCCAAGAGCTATGTAGGTGGCAGTGGCCAGAGGCAAGCACACAGATCTCCCCAGCTCTGGCAAAGAAGCTTGTTCCATTGTTTCTATCCCCTGGTCCTGCTGGGACTAGGCAGGAAAGGGGATGAGAAACCAAGGCCAGCCATGCTTGCAACATGGCTTGCACCAGCCTCCAGGTGGGTGAGTCCACAGGCTATCTCCCCAAAACCTCCTTTTCTCTTGCTTTCTCTCTTTTTCCCCACATACAATCTTACCAAAATAGCTGTCAAGGAACAAAAATATATTACTAATCTGAATTTCAGGTCACTCCCTTTTTTTTGGTGGGGAGGGCAGGTACTAGTAGTCTCCACACAATAAGGAAGCAGGTCAGGGAGGAGTCTTAGATAATCTGTAAACCACGTAATTTACTCCTAAATCCTAACTCCTAAGGAGTCGGATACAGACGAACCCTGCTAGATTAAAAGGTGCTAGAGCCAAACTCCCCTGGCCTGGAATACACCCCCTGCATCTTCCCACTCTTCTGTTAGCCCCCCACCTATATTTCAAGGCCCACATCCAAGGCTACTGCCTCCAAGAGCCCTTTCCTCAGCTTAGCAGGACTTATAGTTTGCATCATGCATTTGGTCCCTCAATCAGAAGCTCTCTTGGATCACCAGCTGACCATTTGTATATCTGTTTTTGTGTCCTCGACTGTACCAGCAGTTCCCTCAAGGACCAGGATCATGGCTGAAAACCTAAAGCTGGGCGTGAGGCAGGCTTTTCAAAGATGTGTGTGTATTTGGCCTGACTTCTTATCCCTTGACAATGGCTGATTGACTCCGCAGCACTACATGCCCGGCCCAACCTTCTCCTACTTGAGGCAATAAAGATGCCAGGTCAAATCCAGCTCAAACAATGAAAACAGGCAAATTACCCCAGAGAAATAACAAACACCCCGAACAGCAGTGCCCAGAGCCTCCCCCTGACATCTCCAACCACAAGAGACATCCCTGGGCATGGCCAACCTCTCCTCTAACCACAGCAAGCATGACAGGAGCGGCTGAGTGGGCAGACCCTCCCTCTCCCTGGGCAAGCCAATTCCACTCACATTAATGGGATGCCTGGTGACAAACTGGGCGGCTCGCATGGGCTTTCGGCCAAAAGAGACCCAGAGCTGGACGGAAGACTGCTGCTGACTGCCCAAGAGATGCTGCCAGGGAGAGAGAGAACTTCAATGAATTACATCAGCTCAGAGCCACTCTCGCAAACAGTGAGAGGGAAAACCATTCTAATTCTTTATTTCCTTAGGTAGCAGGTTTACAATAAAGGGAGGACGGTGGTGCCCATGATTTCATACATGAAAGCACACGAGGGGGATACAATTTTTCTTTGGCCATCTTTGATTTGATGAACAGCCTGTGTTTGCCATTTGTACGATCAGGATGCCAGAAAACCACAAGGTAGACCCTGAGCAGACTGAGAGGAAGATACAGACCAGAGTCACATAAAATGAGCAGGCATAGATAGGTAGTGACCTGCATCACTAAAGGGGTACCTATATTGCTGAGCTCTCAGGTACATCTGAGTATCTTAGTAATTTATCATCAAATGGAATTGTAGTGTCTCTTTTCAATAACTAACATTAATAACACATGAGAAAGGATTGCAGATTAGACAAATTAAAAATTTTATCTTACTCCAGAAAGCAGTCATTCACACATGTACATCTCACACAGTGATGGAAATGAATGTACACTTAGCACTGTCAAATCCTGAAGTCAAAGATCTGAGCTCAGATTCTACCTCAGACACTCAATGTGTGTTCCCAGTCACGTCACTTAACTTCTGTCTGCCTTAATTTCCCCATGTGTAAAACAGTTAAAATAATAGCACCGACCTCCCGGGGTTATTGTGAGGATAAAACGAGATATTATTACATTGACAAACAGAGATGTCTGCTGACTTTCTTACTGGAGATTTCAAACTATTCCACAGACACTGTCCCACAGACATCTCAACTGCAGTGTGACCAAAATAGAACTCACCCCCTTCCAAACTTCCACATTTCTATTAAGGACACCATCATCTTCCCAATCTTCCTGGTTTACAACCTCACTGTCATTCTCTACTCCTCACTCTCCCTCACCCCAAATATCCAATCAGTGGTCAAACCCTGTCATTTCTGCCTCTACAACATCACTTGCCTCCTTCCTGCTCTAACGACTGGTTCATACAGCCATCACCTTAGTTCACCTTCTTATCACCTCTAATCTGGATTACTCCAACAGCTGATACAACCACTTCCTAATTATCCTCCCTGCCTCAAGTCTTTCTTCATTCCATTCCAATCCATCCTCCACATAGCTGCTAAAGTGGTATTTCCTTACGTATAGGGCTGACTCTGTCACTCCCCTAATCCATAAACTCTAGTGACTCCATTATTGCTCTAAGATAATATATAAAATTCCTCTGGTCTCAATCTTCTCAAGTGAAGTAGGAGGTTAAGCCGTTTACTGTTAAGTGTGATGGGTCAGGTTCAACTGAGAGTTTGAAAAAGAGAGGGCAAGATTTCAAAGAGTCACTGTGGGGGATGAGACAAAAAGCCACAAAAAGAAGAGAGGAGAAGGACTGTCATGCAGCACTGAGGGTCCAACTGAGGGTATTCCTCCTACTACCTTCTATCATGAAGAGAGCTTAGAAAGAATTCATTTCTCAAAATCATTGGATGTGGAACTCAAAAGAAAGCAAACAATCAGAAATTACCCAAAGGTTATGAGAATGGATAACTGGGAAAATGGTAGTATGCAAAGAGAAGCAGGTCAAAAACAGTCTTTCAAGTGTCTACATTAAGGGGAAAAAATGAGGAAGATGATTCAGAAAAGAAGATTTAGTGATGATAATAACAAAGAAGAAGGGGAAGATGAAGAATAAGAGAAGGAAGAAGAAAAAGAGGAATTAGCATTTATATAGTGCTTTAAGGTCTCCTAGTTCCAGAATCTCAGCATCATCCTGGATCCTACATATCTAATCCAATCAGCTGCCAAATCTTGTGGGTTTTCCCTTCATAACAACTCTTACAATCTGACCCCTACTCACACAGGTACCACCTTAGTTCAGTCCCTCATCACCTCTCACCTAGATCATTGCAACAGCCCGATGATTGGTCTCCTTGCCTCAAAACTCTCCCCATTCAAATCCATCCCACACAGTGCTGCCAAAGTAATTTTCCTTTAGTGCAGATCCAACCATGTGACTCCCTATTCCACCAACTCTAGTGGCTTCCTATTGGCTCCAGAATAAAATATAAATTCCTCTGTTTCACTTTTAAAGCCCTACACAATTTGACCTCAATCTGTCTTTCCAGCATCTCCCTCCAGCACGAGGTGATCCAGCCAAGCTGGCCTTCTCTCAGAGTCTCAGACAAGACTTCCATCTTATATCTCCAAGCTCTGAACTGGCTGTTCCTAAGGCCTAGAAAGCACTCCCTCATCACCTCCACCCCACAGAATCCCTCTCTTCCTTTAAAATGCAGATCAAGCACCTCCTTCTGCCTGAAGGAAGTCTTTACAGATCACCTCAGCTGCCAGTGCCTTTCCCACCAGGTTACCTCTATTTAAGTAATGTGTATATATAAAATTCACATTTGGGCTTTATATATTTTTATGTATACTTGATGTCTTCTTCCCCCATTAGAATGTAAGCTCACTACAAGCAGGGATCACCTTATTCTTTGTACTTCTATCCCCAGTGCTTGGCGCAAGTAGTTGCTTAAGAAATACTTGTTGATTGAGACAGAATGTCGATTCACTTGATAATATGTAAGGAAAAAAAAACTGGAGGGCATCCACCTTGGTAAAAGACCTCAAGTTTATGCCCTAGAAAGATCAGGTGATTGCTGTCTTCAAATGTTTAAAGGACTATCACCTAGGAGAGGGGTTAGATTAGTTCAGTTTGGCCCAAGAGAGCAAAATGAGGAATGATGGGTGGAAATAACATAAAAGCAAAATTAGTTTCATGTAAACAAAAAACGTCTCAATAATTCGAGCTATGAACAGAGCAGATGTAGAATTCTAAAAGTGGAATGAATGAGCTGCCTTGGGAAGTAGAGAGTTCTCCATTTTTAAAGGTCTTTAAAATAAAGGCTGGATGGCCATTAGTTTGAGGCACATCGCAGATGAAATTTTTTCAGGTATACATTGGACTGGATGGTCACTGAGGTCACAGCTCTGACACTGTGTGAACCAGGAGTACTCAGCAAGGCAGAGACAACCAGGAGAACGTGTCATAGAAGTCAATGGAAAAGAAAGTATCCAAGAGGAGGGAGTGGTCAACAGTACTAAATGCCATAGAAGAATCAAGGAAGAAGAAAACTAAGAAAGAGCCATTTGACTTGGCAATCAGAAGGTTTCTAGTGGTGGAAATGGAAGCTAGATTACAGAGGGTTTTGGAATGAATGATAAGGAAGTGAAGACAGTGCATAGAGATTTCAAGACTAATCAATTCCATAAGTCTAGAAGTGAAATGAAATTGAGCGATGGGAATTGTATAATAGAGGGTAGCAGGTTTGGGATTTTAAAATATTTTTAAAGGAACCTTGGTCCTCACCAGCTATGCCTAGCATGCCCTATAGTACCAAGATGGCTTAGAGAACAGGTCTGGTGACGGACTCTAAGTCTGTCATCCAAGGAACAGCCCAGATGAATGTGAAGAGGTTCATCCAAAGGATAGGATCAAAATAATGAATTCTGAAGTTGGATCAGCCCTCCAATACTGCCTACTAATTTGCAAACGGGTTACAATCTGTACCTAGGGAGGGAACACTCACATTGATGCAATCTCAGACTCTTGAAAGCACTGGAAAAAAAACCCAGAGGAGGGGAGATGGGCATATTTGTAGACAGTGAAGAAAGAGCAAGGGAGGGAGAGAAACTGAAGGCTTAACTTCAGTGGGTTTCTTTTCTCCCTAACCTCCACTAAACACATCCCTTTAGGAAAACCAGTCTTTAGACTGATAGAGCAGAAGACAGAACTGGTCTCTGATCCAGGAAGACCTGGGTTCAACTCTTGCCTTTGATGCAAACCGGCTTTGTGACCCTAGGCAAGCCCCTTAACCTCTCTGTGTTCTAGGTAACTCTCTAGGACTAGATGTTGCAGAGAATATGAAGGAGTTTCCTCATCTGGGAATTCCCTATACTAATGAAATCACAGATCTAGTGCTGGATACAAGGCTTGGGATTTTACTTTGTTTTGGAGTTCGTTTTTTCCCCACACTAAAATAAGAGCTCAGGACTGGTGGAAAGGGGGATATGAGGAGCTAGGAAAATAAACATTCAAAGATGCCAAGAGGGGACTGCCATTTTTGTACAGCTTCCACAGAGGGGAGTGAACTCTGCAGCAGAGCACATGGGACTGAAATTAATCTGGTCTAAAAATCAAAAGGTATATGAGTACATCATCTAACACCAAAGGACTAATAAGCCAACAGAGCTGCCTAGAGATGCTGCATGGGTTATCTCTAGAAACTCAGCTTAGGTACAGAAGCAGCTGAAAAAAGGATTATTACTCGTACCACACGAAGAAGTCTTGCGACAAATCATGATTATTCATGCTGATGGAAGGAAGAAAGTGGCATAAGTAACCCAAAACTATTTCTAAATGGCTTTGCAATCAATTGTGTGACTTGAAAAATAGAGAGAGAAATAATAATCCCTCACATTTATACAAAGTGCTTTCTTCATAATAAGTGGATGTGCAGTAGATAGTGCAACGATTATTATTCCCATTTTACAGATGAGGAAACTGAAGGTCAGAAAGGTTGAAAAATGACTTGATCATATTCAAACAGCTGTGAGTATCAAAGCTTAGATATGAGCCTAAATCTCCTGATTCCAAGTCCAAGGCTCTTTGCCACAAGCTTTAAATAGGATCAGATTTGGGATCAGGGGAAAAATATACAGTTAAGGGAAAAAAATCCAAACAAGCTGTCCTTTGGAAAGGTGGGGCAAATTTGGGGAGACAAGGAACCTCACTCAACATTCCTTAGAAATGAAAAGTCATGAAAAATTTGTTGTCTTAAAGAAAACCAAGATGAACTATGAGCATTAAAAGGTTTACCACTCAGCATTTCCTGGTTCTTTGTGCCCCAAAAAGAAGTAGCAAGGCTAGAGAGCCAGCCTCAAAAACCTGGGTTCAAATCCTGCCCCTGATACATATTGGCTGGAGAAGGATTTCCTTAGGGAAATCACTGCACCTTTCACTGCTCTAAACAACTCTCCAAGATTACAAATCGCAAAGAAGGTACTAATAATCTGCATTAGTGGGAAGAGGCTTCCTCACCTGGGAGTTCCCAATCCCCATAAAACCACAGGCTCATCTCTCCCTCTATTTTGTTTCACAACATATAAATGCATGTGGCAAATCTCAGTATGCCTGCTCACCACCTGCCATTCTCATCAATAAAATGGTACTTCCCTGACCCTAATAGGGATCTTTGTGAGTCTCTCTGCTGTAGGTGCATCCATTTCTTCTGAGACTGGTGACAGAACAGGAGACAGAGGGCATGTCCATGGCAGGAGGCAGAGGGAGGGGGAGAGGGAGGTTAGGAAAACACGGCTGAGGCCAATGCAAATGGTCTGGCTACTACACAAGTTTCCAAGAGCAGACACTTTTCAAAAATCCTGTGAAAAGCAGAAAACAGGAGCCCCTCTTTCTTCTGGCCAACCCCCATATCTACTTCACCACTACGGTTTCCTCCTTGTCTTGGGGGGAAAAAATGAAAAAGCCTTCTCCCTTATCTGGGCTTCCAAAACCACAAGGTTGCTTGGTTCTTTCTCGCTTGCTACCAGTCATATAAATAAATAAAAGCCTAGCTATGTAAACTATGACTGACTTCAACTGCTACCCTGTTAACTGTGTCAGGAAGCAGATTAACCATTTAGAGGTTACTAACATACTCTGTCCCTAATTGCAGTCAATGGGAGGAAAGGCCCCAAACAGAGAGCAAAGAGAGAAGCTGCCAAGGCCCCAGGAAGACAAGCCATGCAGCTCTGGAGGGTCCTGTTTGTTTGTCTTCCGACTCCTACAACAGGCCATCTGACCTGAGAGACCTCAATCTCTCATCCACCTCACGTCAAAATCCCGGACATCAATTCCCTCTCTCTTGTTATCCAGTCTATGACCAAGAGGTAGGTGGCCCTTCTTGCCAAGGTCAAATCCTCTGTATGTATACTAGATCTCATCTCCTTCAGCAAACCGCATTCAGAGTCAGTCTCCATGTCTCTCTGTCTCTCTCTCACTCTCTCCCTCCCTCTTCTCTCTCTCTCCCTCCCCCTTTCTCTCCTCTCTGTCTCTCTCCCTCTCTACCCCCTTATTGGTTCCCTCCCTGCTTCCTTCAAACATGTCTCTCCTTTTCTTAAAAAAGAGATCCTATAATCTTCACAAACTACCATCCTCTATCTTTCTTCCCTTTCTCAAACTCCTGGAAAAAACCGTCTAGGCTTGGTTCCTCTTCTTCTTCCTCCTTTTCCCCAGTCACACTCAATTTCACTCATTCCGTAACTCTCTGCAGTTTGGCTTCTGACCTCATCACTTAACTGAAACTGTTCTCTCCAAAGTTACCAATGAGAGTAAATCTGATGGTCCTTTCTCAGTCCACGTCCTCTACCTATCTGCTGCGTTTGATACTACCAACCACCCTCTCCTACTGGATGCTCTCTCCTTTCTGGGTTTTCATTATGCTGCTCTCTCTCGGATCTCCTCCTGCCTATCTGACTATTCCTTAGTCTCCTTTGCTGCCTTGTCATCTGTATGATACTCCATAACTGTGTGTATCCCCCAAGGTTTGGTCCTGTACTCTACTCTTCAAAGGGGTACCCCCTCCTCCACTCTCTCTTCTTCCCCACCACTTTCCAACTTCCTTATATGTCTTGTCTTCCCATTAAATGTAAGCTCCTGAGTCCCATTAGAATATAAGCTCCCTGAGGGCAGGGGCTATTTTGTTTGCTTGTATTTGCATCTCCAACAATTAGCACAGTGCTTGGCTGTAGTAAATGCTTAATAAATTCTCTCTATATACAGATATAAATGATATATAAAGATGTAGATGACCGATATAAAGATAGATAGAGAGATAGATTTCTTTTCCCTCTATATATTTTCTTGGTATCTTCATCAGCCCTTGTGGGTTTAGGTCTAATTCTCATTTCTATACAGATGACTCACAGATATAAGTATGCATATGTGCATGTACACATATACACCTATGTGTATATACTCATAAATATGCACTTATATAATATACTTGTATCTATACATACATGTAGGTGCACATATATGCATATATCAATATGTGTATCTATGTGTCCATATTTGTGTGTGTGTGTGTGTGTGTATGTGAGACAGAGAGAGAGAGAGAGAGAGAGAGAGAGAGAGAGAGGTATGTGCTATATACAAATCTCTCACCTAAGCTGCCATCATGGTATCACCAATTCTCTACTGGACATTTCAAACTGGATATCCTAGAGATATCTCAAGCTCTACATGACTACAACTAAATTCATTCTCTTTTCCTTTGAAACTTCCCTTCTTTTAAATTTCCTTGTTTCTTTTGAAGATCCTTCCTCCATCCTTCCTCCAGTCTCCTCCGTTCATAAGCTCATCATTATCCTGGATTCTTCACTCTCCCCCTCTAATCTAATATCTAATCAGTCAGCAGGATAACAATAATAGCCAGTTCTTTCTCTCTACTCACACAGCTACCACCCAAGGTCAGGTCCGTGTCACCTCTCACCTACATGATTACTACAGTCTTCTAATCTGTCTCCAGCCTCAAGTCTTTCACCACTCCAGCCTGTCCCACACACTGCTGCCAAAGTAATGTTCCTTCAGGACAGATCCAACCATGTGACTCCCCTCCAGTGACTTCATATTTAGGATAAAACGTAAACCCCTCTGTTTAGATTTTAAAGTCCTTCATCACCTCACCCCAACCTACCTTTCCAGACTCAGAGAGCATTACTTCCCCTTCCACATTGCAAGCCAGCCAAACTGGTCTTCTCTCTGCTCTTCACTCATGACACTCCATCTGCCAGCAGTGTACCTTTTCAGCGACTATCCCCTATACCTGGATTTCATGCTCTCCTCACCTCTACCTTGTAATAGTCTCTTCCTTCCTTTAAGATGAAAATCAAACACCATCTTCTGCATGAAGCTTGTTCTCATATCCCCAACTCCTACTGCCCTCCCTCCCAAACTACCTTGGATCTAACCACTTTGTAAAGACAACTTTGTATTTATGCAGCACATATTTTTATATGTATGGATTGCCTCCTCCATTAGAATAGCAATAGTGTGAATATTGTTTCATTCTTGGTACTTCTAGGTTCAGTGCCTGGCATGGGGACTGGCACATGATTTAATGATCTGATAAGAAATAAAACTGATATAAACTATATTATGGTTAATAACCAGTCACAGGTATTGAATAAGCAAGTCTTCTACTGTGACTTCTGGCTACAGGGGATCAAACAAAGGGCAAGGAGAGGTAAGAGTCCCTCCACTTACTGGCACAGAAGCTAGAAGCTTAAATCCTGGGATGTTTTACTTAAGGCACTAACTCCCACTGAATAGTGTCTACACTAATGTCTATATATTCACTCAACTAAGCCAATTAGCATATTTCTGGAGCTTTGAAGAAATCTACTTGATGAACATCAAGGAAATAACAGTCAAACCAACAGATAAAAACTCACCTTTATGGGCTCTATTAAATTCTCAAAGCATTTTCTTCACAACAATCCTATAAAGCAGGTTTTATTGTACAGGAAGCTGGTGATGAAGTGGATAGAGCACTGGTCCTAGAGCCAGGAAGACCTGAGTTCAAATCACAGCCTCAGACACTTACTAGCTATGTGACTCTGGACAAGTCATTTTTTTTTTGCTTCAGTTTCCTCAGCTGTAACATGGGGATAATAACAGCACCTACCTCTCAGGGTTGTTGTGAGAGCCAAATGAGATAATAGCTATAAAAAGTACTTGGCACAGTGCCTGGCACGGAGTGCTATATAGGTGCTATGTAAATGTTTATTCCCTTCTCTATTCCCCACTATCCTCATTTTAGAGATGAGGAGAAAATCCCAGTGTCATATAGCTGCTGTCAGAACCAGGATTCAAACCTAGATCTCTGCTGCCTCCAAGCCTAGTCTTTTTTTTTCCCCCAATGCTCTACATCACTTTTTTCTTAGCTGCTCATGAGAATTTATGTTTGTAAAGCTGTCATAAGGTCAGAAGGAAATTCAATGAAATGCCATGCTCTGAAAGACACTTTGAGAGGTTTCTCCAGCCCCAGCAAGACAACATTCAAGCCTGCTGGAGCCATCTTTTTTCCTAAATCTTTCCATGAACAAAGACTCCAAATAATCCTTTGGAAATGAGTCTCAGGATCCAACAACCTCTACAGGCAAGACAACCATCACCATGTCTCGGTAAAGTCCTTCCTGCTTCAACTAAGCTCATTTTTTGTAATTGGCTTTAAGCTTCAGTCGCCCCCTTCCCACTTACCACCACCTTTGTGGCAAATAGGTACTTGTCACGGAGCTGAAAGTCTCTGACTTCCTCCAAGATCACTTCCTGGTTTTCCCTGGACTGGAAGAAGTCTGTACTTTGAAAGACAGTGGAGAAGCCTGTGGGTTCATGCCGTTCAATGTAGATGGTATTGGGTTTGTCATATGGATCAATTCCCCTGTGGAAAGGAAAAAACGATTACTGTTATACTCACACACACAGGACGCCTTCATTTTAGGCATCTCACTGACTTTCTCAGCAAGTCATAGGATCATAGGTGGCATAGTAGATTGAGCCCTGGCCCTGGAGTTGGGAAGACCTAGTTCAGATCCTGCATCAGACAGTTACTAGCTATGTGACCCTGGGCAAATCATTTTACCTTTATTCCTCAAGTTTTCCATCTGTAAAATGGAATAATAATAGTACCTATCTCTCAGACTGCTGTAAGGATAAAATGAGATATTTATAAAAGAGCCTTATAAACCTTAAAGTGATATATAAATACTAGTTATTATTATATATATATATATTATTATACTAATCATCATCTCCCCCAGAATGCCCAGCACAGTGCTGTACTAGCACAGTAGGTACTCAGAAAATACCTGCCCAAATAGAAGGAAGGAAATCAGCCTTTATTAAGCACCTACTACAAGGGAGATACTGTCCTAAGGGCTAAGTATAAAAATGACCTCACTTTGTAGATTTCTGAGGTAAGAATACTTTTCAATTTTAACATTATTTAATTTTAGAGATAACAGAATCACAGAATCTCAGGAGCAGAAGACACCTCAGAGTGCATCCATTCCAACCCAAACCTCCACAGATTTCCCCTGGACTGCATGCATGACAAGTGGTCATCCAGCCTTTGCTAGCAGACCGCTCTTCGCTCCCACAGCCTACTGAGCTTTGGGGAAACTCCAGCTGTTCAAATGCATTCCTTCATGTGAGGCCTACAACCTCCTCTCCACAAAGTCCACTCCTGGCTCCTGATTCCAGCCCTCTGGCCCAAGCAGAACAAGTCTGATTCTTCTCCCATCATTTTGGCCAACACCCTCATTTGACAGATGAAGAAGCCAAAGCCCAGAGAAATGCAAATCCCAGTGTTAGTTACTGACAAGAGCTACAACTAGGGCGCCTCAGTCTTCTGATTCTTTGTCCAGTGATTTGTTTTTCTTGTTCAACAAGAGTACACTGTGTGTAGTTTGGGGTTGGCACAAAAGATGGCATGTGGATTCCTGCCACCCCACATCAAATACAAAGAAATGACTGACCACAGGACTTATCCTAATCATTAACTCAATTCCTAACACATACCGACAGCTGGGCAATATGAAGGCTGGCAGGAAAAGGGAGTAAAATGAAGAAATGTCTATGGAAGACACCTCTTCTTAGTAACCTTTCAAAAATAAGGGGCGATACAATCTAATGATTCCAATGACTCAATCTTCTCCAAGCACAAGCAGCCAAAAGGCTTGGAAAGAAAACACAACAGTGAGAAAAATTCCCCAAGAACAAGGGCTTATCTTTCTCTTTGTATGGCTCCATAAAACATATAGGTGCTTATTAGCAGCCTTTTGAGTAATGAAGAGCCCAGTGAAACTCCCTCAAAATACCCCTCCTAAAGCCTCATTTTAGAGTTTCCATTTCAAGGGTGGCATAATTTACAAAGAAAATGACATTACAACTGGGGACATTTCTACTTCTGTTCTGTAATCCAAACAAGTCCTCAATAAATTCCTAACTAGAGCAATGGAAGAAAACTGGCATTTTAGATAAGACCTGGATGAAAATGGTTCTTCATTATCTGATATTGTGTGTGTGTGTGTGTGTGTGTGTGTGTGTGTGTGTGTGTGTGTGCATGCGTGCGTGCGCCTGTACATGTGTGCGTGGGTGTTGGTACAATCTGCTCTCCTCCACAATTAGAAGTACTGATTAGAGTATTTCCGTTGGTGGTTATGCAAATTAGTATAAGGCTCCTCAGTATCAGAGAGAGAGAGAGAGAGAGAGAAAAAGAGAGAGGCTGGAGGTAGGGGAAGGAGAGGGTAAAATTGTTCTCAGATATTTAGAGACCTTGCTTGCCTAAGAGTCTGTTTTAGATGCATCTCTAATAGAAATCATGTCTTATATTTCTATAGTCTCTTCTGGGCAAATATGTCAAAGGTTGTTCTAACATTCTAACTTAAAATATTTATAGAAAACATCAGAAGAGACAAAGCTTAATGTTTTTTACACAGCAAAATGTGGTATTTCTGAAAGACCACTTCTAAAAAATGGTCTTCAGAAAGCATCCAATATCCTCCTGATTTCCTAATGGATTGAGAAATCCCAAAGATCTGATCCCCTCCCATAATCAGTCCTCATTCAGATTAAGCTAAGTCTATTCCACTTGGAGTTCTGACTCAGATTCTGTAGAACTTGGTTTGATGGGGGGTTTTTTCCCATGACTCTCAATCCCAAACTGGGCCAAACATGTTTACATTAAAAGTGGGGATCAAATTGGAGAGAAGATATTTAAACGTTAATCCCACCTCTTAAGATGGTACAACTTACCAAGCAAATGACTTCACATGTTCTTGAATCATGACCCAGGTCTGGCCAAAATCATCGGATTTCCAGAGCTGCAAATCAATAACATGAAAGTGATGAAAGAGGGCTAAGCACTCTGGACCAAAGACAACTAAATCACCATCAAACTCCTCCTGTGAAACCCAGTCTTAGGGAACACAACGCCAGAGTCTATAACAACAGGCACATATCACTAGAGCCAACAGGAGTGCACAAAAAGCATTTAAGGACAGGGAACAACAGATAAATCTGCTACCCTATCTTCTCTGCAGTGACCAAAATCTCAAATGCGTGTTTTTGGGAGGAAAAAATGATTGGGTCCATTTCCTTTTCTCAAAGAATGATGCTCTTCTGGCTTTCCAGAAATGGACATTTCCTCTAGGATTGTATCTCAGCTGATAGAATATGGTCAGGGAGTTACTCCTAGGTTTTCCTCCCTCAGAAATAACGTCCCTGAACACCTTTAGCGACTTTAGGTGACTAAGGTGGGCGTGAGGGAGAAGAGTGAACATTAGTCAAGGACAGAACTACAGAGCTTCCAATAGAATCATCAGTATACATGGGGAACATAAACATGACAAATAGACCTGTTGGACCTAGCCAGAGAGATTATGGATAAACCAATCACCTAAACTTGAAAAGCCCCAACCTGGAGGCCCTTTCCGAAGGTTGTTTTATGTGTCCCTGGCAACAGGACGTTGGAAGACAAGATCAGAAACAACAATAAAGATACCTGAACCACTCTGGGAAACTGATGTAGCCCCATACTTGGTCCACTCCTTTTCTTCTCCCTCCTACCCATGCCAAGCCTTTCCTATGAGAGACCTAAAACCTTACCAAAATAAGTAGGAGGCATTTTTTTGTTAAATAGGCTACAAGTAAAAAGAAAATGACCCACATTTAGTTGGCACAATCATTACCAAGCCAACCCAGGGCCCAGGCAGGTTTATGCCAGGCCTACATCCCTGACCTACTTAATTCCAGGCCTGAAATTGATCCCCTTGCTTTCCCAAAGGAGTAAACAGTTGATGTTATTCTAATATAAATTCTGGGTAAACATACCACAGAAGGCCAGAAATGTAAAAGCAGCTTGTAGAGTCCAGGCTCCTGCTTTCTCTGTCATAATGGATTCCAGGGCCTCAGTTTACACCCCCTCCTCCCACTCAACAACAAAATATCTGTCTAGAAGAGCACTAGGTTAAAAAGCAAGAGGCTGCCAAGTGCTAGGATAGTGATCCTTGGCCAGAAGGAGGAAGGAAATTGCCAAGGGATGTATTTTTGCTTAACAACAGTAAATGAAATTGTGCTTACAAATGCCAAGCCTAGAAAAGGGAAAAGAATTAGTGAAAGGACACAGACAGAGAACAACAAGAAGGCAAGTAAAGAAGCCTTTACCTGTGCCTACTAAGGGCCCTCCCAAGGCAGCAAGTGGGTGAGTGGAAGGAGGTTCACTTACCTGCTTATTAGGGTGAGATCTATCAAAGCCCAGGAGAAGGTTGGGGGCCTTGGTATGCAGAAGGAGGTCAGCTGCCCGAAATGGGATGGAGAAACCCTGAACAGTGCTGCAGAAGTCAAAAGTAATCCAGAGGTACTGGGCATAGGCATCCACAAAGATGTACTAGAGCAGAAAACAGAGAAGACAGAGGCACACAATGACAAAAAGTTAGCAATAACCAGCCACCCCCGTAGCTATACAATGTGAGAGTACTAAGGAGAAGATGAAAACCAGGGAGGAACGAGGGGCCTGCATATCCATGGAGAAGAGGGCCTTCTTACCATCTAAGCATGTCAGTGAAGAGATGCAAACATACAGAATCAAGAGAATGATTCATACATTGACAACATCATAAGGGAAAGCAATGTTGAAAGATTTCAGAACTCTGACTGATACAATGAACAGCTTTAATTCCAAAGAAAAAATGGTGAAGCATGTCCCACCTTCTGACAAGTATGTCTTGTCAATTACGTCTCCCACCTCTTGGCAAAGAAGTGGTGGGCTACAGGAGCAGAATGACGCATACACTGTTGGATATGGCCAACGTGCCCATTTGTCTTGTTTAACTGTGCTTCTTTGTTCTAAGACAGTGTTCTTTCTATGGGGGAGGGCAGAATCATTGGGAAATAACAGCAATTTTTTAAAAAGCGAATAAAAGTAAAGTTAAAAACAAAATATTCCAATTTTTTCAAGAGGGAGAAAGAAAGGAAGGAAGGAAGGAAAAGAAAGGCAGGCTAGAAATGACTGAGTTAGGCAACAGAGAGGACAGGTTAGTATATCCCACATATTAGTCCTATTTAACCAAAACTTTAATGATCTTTGTGACTTCCATCAGAATGTTCTTCTAATTTTTATCTTTCATTGTTGACCACCATCTCCAAGAGGTGAAGACTTTTTGTCATCCATGAATGAATGAATGAATGAATGAATGAATGAATGAAAGAAAAATGATTTGTTAAGCTTTCAATTGACAGGCAGTGTACTAAATGATGGAGATACAAATACAAAAAACGAAAGAGTCCTTGCCCTCAAGGAACTTACATTCTAATCAAGGAAAACGACATATTTAGGGGAGTAATGACCAGAGTGGGTAGTTCTGGTCTGGGAAGACTCAGGGATGGTGAGTAAAGTAATGTTGATTTGATTACTGTTCTCAGAGCAAAAGTGAAGGTGACTTGGATAGTGGGTAATGGTTCATTCTTTTCAAAGGCCAACAGCAGCCAAGAGACTGGGAAATCAGAGTCATATAGTAGGAAGATCAACGGATTTGGAGTCAAAGGACCTAGGTCTGCAAATTTACTACCAAGTGACCTTAGGTACTGAAACCCCTTTGTGCCTTAGTTTCTTCATCTGTAAATAAGGGCTTTAGATCAAATGGCTCTGAAGTCCCTTCTAGCTCTAAATCTGTGATCCATTGATTCTATGAGGTTATGATTTACCTGTACACCTGATAAGCTGAATTAGGAGTGGGCAGGGAAGGGACAGGCTGGAAAAGAATTCCAGTACCAGCACCATTCAAAAGAGCCCCAGGTCAAACTTTAACATCACCTGCCCAGGAGTTTCACCCGCCCTGTGAGAATGGCTTTTTCTCCTTGCACAAGCAGGCTGGACTACTTCCATAGCAAAAGGAGCGCCTCTGAGGCCAGCAGACTTTTCTCTGTAGCATCTAGAGGAGTGGCTCCTGTGGGAACAGGACGCACCTCATTTTAGCTGTACAAGGGTGACTGAGTTTGAACAATAGCTTGGCAGACTAGCAACTGCCTGCCTATAGAGGCCCTTTGTGGGGAGGGAGAATAAGGGCCTGTTCTAGGGTTGACCAGGAAGCTCAGCAGAGGACTAAGAAGTCAGAATCAGCAGGATCCAGTTCTACCATGAGTCTGGTCACAGAAATAAAACATACAAACTGAATGCAAGAAAACCTTCCTGATCAACTTCCCTCAACAGGATCCACTAGGCAAGCCAACCTAACTGAAGTACCAAGATTCCTTAGGGAAGCAATGGGAGGCAGCATGCGCCAGGTGGGTAAAACCAATGCCACCATCTCCACCACCACCTTCCCTCAAGGCCAGATGGAGAAAGCCTAGGTCTATGAAACTAAGAGCTCTGGGAACAGAAGAGATCCCCCACCCATCTGCCCTGCTTTGAGCTTGGCCCATGTCATTGCGGAAAACAAGCCCTATGGAGAAATGGCCCATATTCCTGGCTACCATCAACACCAACTTCTAATCAGATGCCACAAATGGACAGGTAAGCCCAAGAGCCTTAGGCAAGTCAGTGACCCCAGACGACCAATTCTTAGTTTTGCATCTAGCTCCTTGAAGTCATCATTCTGGGAACCAACCCTTGTGGAAATGAAACCTTGCAACTGATTCTGCAGGTGCTACAGCCCTAATTCCTCAACAACCACAGCTACATAAAAGACAGAAAACAAAGCTCTTAACACCAAAGTCCTTGGCACCGCTGAATGGCTCAAGAATCAGAAACAGAAAAAAACAGTTTTCTGCGGGGAAGAAAAAAACATTAAAAATCTATTACCATCTGCTTTGCCACTGCCATTGCCCCCTAAGGACCATGAAGTCTTTCCATCTAACTTGAGGGAGCTGAAACCCTCTACGTGTGTTGTCAACTCCCATTAGAATGTGAGCCCCTGGAGACACGGAACCATTTCCCCTTTAGAAGGAACACTGGGGATCATCTAGTCTGATCCCTTTTAATTTTACAAATGAGGAAGCTGAAACCCAAGAAGGGTATGGGACTTGTCCAAGGCCACACAGACAAGACAGAACAGCACTAGAATTTGCACTTAGTACAGTGCCTAGCACACAGTAGGTGCCTAATAAATGCTTACTAACTGACTGTTGATTGCAAGTTTAGGGCTTTTTCAATTTCAACTTTTTCAACTACTGCCTTCCAGTATTCTTTATTTATTTATTTATTTTGGTGAGGCAATCAGGGTCAAGTTACTTGCCGAGGGTCACACAGCTTTAAGTGTCAAGCGTTTAGTCTGAGACCAGATCTGAACTCAGGTCCTCCTAACTCCAGGGCAGGTGCTCTATCCACTGTGCCACTAGCTGCCCCTGTCTCCCAGTATTAATACAATATACTAACCACCACCAAAAACCATTATTGTCTGGCTTAGATGAGGCAGCCCCCCTCCAATTATTTAGCATAAAAATATCTCAGGAAATAGTCTGAGAAAGATGCAAAAGAGGTGCTGCTATTCTGGAAACACTACAACAATAGTGGCCATTAATCACCAAGGCCTCACTTCTGCAGGTGTCTCCCTCAAGTCTCCCTCCTTCATAGGTCACCTGGGTGTCAGAAGAAAGGATTTTTCAATACTGTTTAATGCCTTTAAATTCACCAGGGTTGGTCCAGGCTCCTAACTCATCAGGTCATGCTTGAATTATGGCAATAGCTCTAATCCAAGGATTCTTAACTTGGGATCCATGGACATCCCTGGATAAATTTCAGGTGGCCCACAAATTTGGATAGGGAAAATTATTTCCACAAGTGAAATTTACCATTTCCTTCAATTATTTTTTAAAAAACTATCACTCTGAGAAGGGGTTCATGGGCTTCACAAGACTACCAATGGGGTCCAGGACACAAAAAAAGTTAAGAACTCTTCTCCAATCATCTCTTCTGCAAACCATTCTGCACACTGCCATAAGATTAATCTTCCTACAATTCCTCTCCTAAATAACTTTTTTTAAAATTCTAAACCTAGCAAAAACTCAACAAATAATCAGGCAACAAATCAAGAAATAAAACTCTCAACACAACTTTAAATTCCAAACCACATATACGTTTTGGTAAAAATATTAACTTTGACCAAAAAATATTTACTTGTTCTTTGTGTCCTCCTTCCAATCTCTTTTCCATCTGTATACTTACACATTTTATCGTGGCTGTCCTTTAAAAGGTCATGGGGGTGTCCCGATGCTAATCACTTGCTTAAAAACTGTGAGTTGTCCCCCCAGTTCCTTCAGGATAAAGTCCAGATTTCTAAGATGGCTTGTCAGGTCATCTTATTTCACCCTACTTCTTTCCAGGCTTCTCCTACTCAGGGAGAACTCTCACAATCCTCTTATAAAAAGGCACCACCCAATATGACTCCCATCTTTGCTCATGCTGTCCTCTATTCTCCTTACTTTACTCAGAACATTCCCCTTTCTAATACTTAGCACAGTTCCTGGCACAAAGTAAGTGCTTAATAAGAAATAAATAAATAATATTCACACAGCGCTATGTTAAGCCCTTTACAATTTTTATCTCATCATAACAACCCTGGGAGATAGGGGCTGTTATTACTCCTATTTTAAAGATCAGGAAATTGAAGGGAACAGAGGTTATGCCAATGGTCATACAGTTAGTAAATTTCTGAGGCTGGATTTGAACTCAGGTTTTCCTGACTCTAGGCTCACACTCCATTCACTGTAGCACCTAGCTACCTAATAAATCTTTATTGATTGATTTCCATCCCACCTCTTCAAATCCTATCCATTCTCAAAACTCCAGCTGGTCCCACTTCTTCCAATAAAGAATCCCTCTAGCCACACTGATCTCCTTCTTTAACCTCCAATGACATTCTGGGGGGGGCCTATAACATTTTCTCACCCCTGTACCATTGACGTTTAATGATTTTGTGTGTATATGTCTTGTCTCTCCAACTAAACTATAACTTCCCAAGGACAGAGAACATGGCTTACACTTTTCATGTATTCTTTATCCTAATATAATATCCTATTTCCTAACTGCTGCACCACCCAGCTGAGGCAGCTAGGTGGCTCAGGGGATAGAACATGGGCCATGAGTCAGGAAGACCTGAGTTCAAATTCAGTCTCAGTCACTCAGTATCTGTGTGACCCTAGCAAGTCACTTAACCTGTTTGCCTCAGTTTCCTCAAAGGCAAAATGCAGATGATAACAGCACCTACCTCGCAGGGCTGTTGTGAGGATCAAATGAGATAATATTTGTAAAACACTAGGCCCAGTATACAGCAGGTGACATATAAATGCTTATTCCCTTCCTCTTCCAAAACTGATCACATGGTAAACACTCAATGAATACCTAGCATAGTTGGTCTTATTCAGCAGCTATTCACCACCAGTTGTGATTGCAGAACCATCAGGAAAGTCTTTCTTTCCCCAAAAAATGTCGTTCTCCCTCCTAGCTAACAATGCCTAAAGTTCTATATTAAGGGTTCACTCTTATGACTTAAGGTTTTGACACATGTTAAAATACAATAACCTCTGGAGGGGACAACCCATTAGACTTTATAAGCTATTTACACACATTACATTATGAAAATGAACTTATCTAATTCTTTCCTTAGAACAAGTTTTAAAGAAGGAAGAAAAATGTAGGTGGGGAGTGAAGACAGTACGGTATGTCACAAGGGTTCAAAAACTGGGACAGAAAATGGTTGGGGGGTGCATCTAGGTAGTACAGTGGATAGAGCACCTGCCCTGAAGTCAGGAGAACCTGAGTTCAAATCCAGCCTCAGACACTTGACACTTAGTAGCTACGTGACCTTGGGCAAGTCACTTAACCCCACTGCCTAGCAAAAAAAAGAAAAGAAAGAAAGAAAATGTTTGGTGGCACCAAAAGCCAATTCATACACTTCACAATTTTACCTGAGATTGCCCCATCTGGTCATCTAAAATGAATCTGAGTAACTTCAGCATAAGACACAGAACTAACCACAGGGGTTACCTCTGTGGTACTGTGAGGGCTACGTGCTCTAGAAAAGGGCCCAGGACCTTTCAAACTCATCAGGTTGGGTCTTACAGCATGAGCAGTTCTGTCTTGCTACAGCAGGGGTTCTTAACATTTTCTGAGTCTTAGACCCCAGTGAATCCTATGGCTCCCTTTCTTCATAATTGAAGAAAATGCTAACTTTTAGTAAGAGACAAGTAGAAATAAAGATCTATTTTTTCCCCATTCACAGACAGCATGAAATCTGGAGGAGGGCGCTAGAGCTTCTTTCTAAGTAACTTAGGGAGTCAGGAGAATGAAGAAGTACTGACAGCTGGAACTAAAAAAGACCTGAAGCCTTCATATAAACCCCTCATCATTACCACCATCATTATCAATTACCATTATCATTATTATCATAGCATTAGCTATGGGCCTCCCATTGTTTCCATATATACCCCTTCAGCCTGCACCCTGCCCTTTAATATTAGAAAAAATTTAATTTCTTCTTCTTTCTCATCAAGGTGGTCCTCAATGTTAACATTTAACCATGATAAAAATGTCAGGGGGCAGGGATGGAGAGGCACTCAATAAGATTCTCCCAATGCCCCTGCTGACAATAAGATTCTCCCTGATGGCCTTACTGACAACAAGGCACTTCAGAAACTCTGTGCGGTTTTTCTCAGGAAGTATCAGGTCTGGTGGAACAATGTGACTTCTGGGTGAAAATAAACACAATTAACATAATACGAGTCACCATTTCCTTTCGGGGGAGTTCAAGGAGTGAGACAACAGACAGCTACCACCAAGGAAGTAGAAACTTCCTCTTGGCAATGTTTCCTCCTAGGCTGCTACACAAGGCCTCAGCACCAGTACGTTCTATGGCTGTCAGGACATTTCATCCCCTGGCTCTGAATCTCCACCAGTTATGAAGCTACTCAGAAGCCAGAGATGTAGCCTGCTCGTATAATCCCATACAAAGTAGTAAGTCAATGGGGCACGTTGAAATGCTAACACAAAGCTCTACTTGTCTGGGGGACTTGGAGCTACTAGCATCTCCTCAATACTACTGAAGCTAAAAGCCACCTCACCAAGCTCTCCCTCCAAACTACATCCAATTCAACAAATCTTAAAGTGCCAACTCTGTACAAGGCACTGGGCTAGATGCTGGAGATACAGAGATGAAAGAGATCACAGAACATGCCCTCAAGAGGCTTACAACCTAAGAGGTGAAGGAATGGACACATTTTTCCCTTCCCAGTCCTATTCCAGACTTTCTCTAGACTTCAAAACCATGGCCTCTCTACTGCTGGCTCATCCTAGAAGTTCCCTTACAGCCCAAGGCCTCCTTGCTCTGGAACAGGCTACCATCCTCATGGCCCAAAAATTGCAAGGCCTGGCTCTCTTCTCCACCGGTGAGTTCCTCCTGGAGCTTCCACTTTGTGGAATGACCCAGACAGGCCTGCATTCTTTCTCTAGATTTCAAAGCCATGCCTCCAGTCAGGTACCTTCATCCCTCTCTCCCATTACCCTGCTTTGCAGGTCCTTGAGGACAGGGACTAACCTTTTTTTGCTTGTATTTGTATTACCAGGACTTAGCAAAATGCCTGACACACATTAAATGTGCTTGTTAGTAGTAAATGCTTATTTCCTTCCTTCTTTCCTTCCCATACAAATATGGATGATAGAAGGGGAAATGTGATAAGTGCAAAGCAGGGGTCCTCGAAAAGTGCCATGAGAAATCCATTTCAGCTGGGGTCAGAGTCCAAAAAGGCTTCATGAAGGAGATGGTACCTGAATCAGGTATTTAAGGAAGGGACTTTGATATGTGAAGTTGGTGTGGGTGGGGGAGACAACTGATTCTAGCTAGTCACAGAGGACTATGATAAAGGATGGAGAAGGAAGAGAGAAGAATAAGAAGGGAAGTGGTGAGAAGACCAGTATAGCTGAAGCAGGCTGTCCATGCTCCAATATAAGAGAGTGAGTTAAGACTAAACAGTGATGCCAGAGTGTAGAAGGCCTTGAACACCAGTTAAGGAGTATGTATGTATGGGGGGTTTGCATACACATACACACACACACACACACACACAAAATATATTTTTTAATGTAACTGAATTTTTTTTAATCTGGTAGAGAAATTTTTTGCAATAAAAATATAATTGAAAACTGTTCATTTCATATTTTAAATAAAATCAGCCCAAAGTCTGCTAAAAAAGCAAAGCCCTTAGGATAGCCAGATGAGAAAATGGGGGGGGGGGAAGAACCAATGGCCTGGTCTGCAATATATAATATCTGCTGGTTTGATTTTTCTCTCCATGCAAAAAACAGGGCCTGGGGTTAGTCAATGAGGAATTGATCACTGAAGTGAACAGAGCAACATCAAAAGTGGCTCTGAATGGAAAACAACAAAAAGACAGTCAGAGAAGACTGTAACTGATTCACTGAATGCTGACCTATTCTATTCACCACTTTTTCAATTCCCTTTCAGATATACAGTTGCTGTGAGAAAAACACTTTGTAAACCTTGAGGCCCTAGAGAAATGTAGTATACAATAATAAAAAAGATAATCGTTATTATAATTATTACCACCCCAGAAGGTAATGAGTGAAGTGGAGGATTTTCTGCAGGCTGCTTCTGCATTAGAAATTCTAATTAGTGGGGCAACTACGTGGCACAGTGGATAGAGCTCTGGCCTTGGAGTCAAGAGAACCTGAGTTCAAATCCAACCTCAGACACTTGACCTTACTAGCTGTGTGACCCTGGGTAAGTCACTTAACCCCAACTGCCTCACCAAAAAAAAAAAAAGAAATTCTGATTAGTAACATGGCATCACCATACTGTGGAGCCAGCCTTACAAACAAGGTCTCCTCCATAATAAATGTTCCCCTCCATAAGCAAGAATTAGCAGAGTCTCAGCAGAAACCATGGCTTCACAACCTGCCCCCAAAATGTTTCAACACATTTGTTTTCCCATAACAACTGAGCTCTTTCTTCCCTAAACAGGGTCCATTAAAGCAGTACTTTGTGGCTGCTACTTCCTTACCCGTTTGTTGTCTGCTGGGCTATGGTAGAATTGAGCAATCACAGCTTCGGTGTTGTTTCCCACACCAAAGTTGAATTTCTCCGATATTTTCTGGAATGATTTCCCATAGTCGTAAGACACATAAACCTGGAAGGTGGGGGGAGAGGAAGAGAGGGGAGAAAGAAATACAAGAGATCAGACAGAGAAATATCTCCCTCTGGCTCCACTTTGAAACTGTCCCATTGCAGGTTCTGAATGTATTAATAATTATGTCTCAATGGCATAATGAAATTACAGGTGTTACCAAATAATGTTAACAAGGAAAGAATCAACCCACCTCTGTGTCTGTCCCCAGTCATGGTTACCCAAGGACAACGTAACCTGCTTGAGAAAAGGGCCAACATGACTGAAGCCATGATAGCCACTCTACACTCCTGACTGGGTCTAATGGGTTCAAATTATATCCAGAGGTTTGTATTTGTCTGGATGGACTAAAAATGTGTCCTGTCTGTCAGGTCTCCACTACCACATATTTCCTGCCTTCTGGGAAGCTCTACTCTTAGGCTGTGCTGGAAGACTGGGAAGAAAAAGACTGCCAACAGAAAGGCAAGAGAGAAGGAGGGGAGAGGAGGTGGACAGGAGAGAAAGAGGAAGAGGAAGAAAGGAGGGAAGAGAAGGAAAGGGAGTAGAGAAGAAAGGGAGAGGGAAAGAACGTGAGGGAGAAGAGAGGAGTATTGCTACGTGTTTTTCCTTATTTCAATAAGAAATATTTTTAAATTTAGTGTATCATAAATTCCAGCTCTAAAGTTCTTATGATTCCTCAAGAGGAATAGGGAATTGTATGTGACATTCAACTCAATTCAACAAGAATCTACTGAGGGCCTGCTATGTATAAGATACTATGATAAACACCAAGGATACAAAATTTTAACACGACAGTCCTTGACCTCAAAGTGAGGGTGGAAGGATGGGGTGGCTGAGAAAGTAACCCATTCACCAACGAGTCTGATACAAGGTAGGGTGTAGCAGGAGCAAAAGACAGTCAATCGAAGTGCGTTCAGCTGCTCCACTGGTAGTTACACTTTTGTCAATTTTCTACTGATCCCAAAAGATACACAGGCCAGAACATGGATGGTGTGAAGGAAGTGGTCAGTGCCACACACCATTCTAACCCTGTCTACACCTTCCTGGCTATGAAAAGTGCAACGGGGTAATAAAAGCACTGGTTTAGAGTCCGGGTTGGGGAATCTACGGCTGAAGCCACCGGTGGCCTCAAGGCTGCAGGCTCCCCATCCCTGGCTTTAGACAAATCTGACAAGTACATAATCAACCCAAGACCACTTGTTTTGCTTTATCTTCAAATATCTCATGAGGAACAGAAGGGCTCCTAAAGGCTACGGAGGAGTACCCAGAAAAGGGAAAGCCATGGGAATCTGGGGGTGGGGGTAGGGCAGAGAGTCAGCCATCACCCTCAGTGATGGCTGCTATCTATTAGGCACAAAGTTAATCCAATCACAACAAAGGCATCTGCACTTATATGGTTCTAATCTAAAGTAACAGGGACACAGACTTCATAAAAGCATGGAGTGCTTTCCAACTGCAGAAGAGGAAGTCGAGGATTCAACAACAGAAATTGAAGTTGTTTTTCCCTCCCTAAATTGTGAAACTTTACAGAGAAGCTTAGGACAAATTATTAGGAAGCAGAATAGAAGTTCTATTTGAGGGCAAAAGGATATAGTGAAACTCAATCTTTTCTTGTTCCCTTTCCCCCAATACACACGCTCCAGACACTGAATGACTTCAGAGAAACTGCATACTGTTTTATGTCTCAGAAGGAAAATGTGAGGGGAAAATATAGTTTTTCAAAAGGGAAAGTTACTTTCATTTACTTATTCAGAGTTGTCTAGAAAAATGTACTCTTGAGGGTAGACAGAGCTCTGCCCTTGAAGTCAAGTTCAAATCCCTTGTCTGCTAAAGACAGTCAAGTCACTTAACCTCTCTGGGCCTCAGTTTCCTCATCTGTAAATAAAAGGTTGGACTAGGTGGGGGACCTCTAGCCCTTCTGGATCTAAATATAAATCTATGATCCCTAGAGCTTCCTTCAAAGTGTACTCTTTCAAATGATATTTTGGTAGGGAGATTTGACAACTTACCAAAAAAAAAATTGTTATCTTTCAAATTTAATCAGTCATAAAATTATGGGCTTGAAAGATCCTAACATCATCATCATCACCACTACCAAAACAACTGCATTCACGAAGGGCTTCAAGAATCCTTTGAAGTATAAGAGGATATAACTGACAGTGCCAAATGCAGCAGAGAAGTCAAGAAGATTGAGACTTTTTTTTTTTGACTAGGCTATAGGGTTAAGTGACTTGCCCAAGCTCACACAGCTAATTAAGTGTCAAGTGTCTAAGGTCGCATTTGACCTCAGGGCCTCTTGACTCCAAGGCCAGAGCTCTATCCACTGCACCACCTAGCTGCCCGTGATTGAGACTTTCTTAAAAGGCCTTTAGAGAATTTGGGAAATCCACAGCAACAATGAAGACGGCACAACTCCAGGTGCAGCACTGGCTTTCTGAAGGACATCTTCTCTAGCTGTCTCTAGCAACCCTTTGTACCTCTAGCATATAGCACTTGACACATAGCAGACTCCTAAAACGTCTCTTGAATTGAACGGCTGCTAGACAGAACCCATTTTCCCCTTCCTGATCAACTCTTACACCTAGACAAAATACAATTGGTGTGTGACCCTTTGGCCAGTTTTGTAACAAGAACTACCAACCACATGAACCAGACTAGATTTCCTTTAGTCATACGATATGTCACATGGGACAGAATCAAAACCCTCATTTTAGGATCAAGAAAAATAACATCTACTGTTTCATTTTAATATACTTGTCACAGAAGGAAATCTCAGCTGGATCTCGTTCTTTATGACTAAGATGTTCACATGTTACCCAACACCAACTTTATTCTGTTAAGGTGCCCAAAAATTCAATGGGGAGGTGATGATTGTTTCCAGTATTTTTCCACAAGATAAAAGTGAAACGTACAGGTCTCTGGCTTCCAGGATAATCCAGTTGCAAACTATAAGCACCATACTGCCCTTCTCTGGCATTTAAGAATCAACTGCTTGTATACTTTTTAACTTCCACTTTAATTACTGTAAGGAATTAACAAACTTTTCATTCAGGTCACTGTGAAAGAAAAGCTTGCTAACTTCTTTTCATACCACCAGATCCTGGCTCTAAGTTACAATGTATTAAAAAACAAAATTAACACCAAAAAAAGAAGCATTTCCAGATAAACGGAACACAAAATGAAGATTGTATATAAAACTGTGGATCTACATGTTGTGCTGCTCTTCAAAAAAGTGCATAATAAATTCAACACTACTTTACTTTTTATTAAATTTTATTTTTTTTCAATGAACAAAAATCCATTCCTACCCCCACCATTTGAAAAGAAAAAGAAAACCCTTGTAAAAAATATGCAGAGTCAAGTTTAACAAATTCTCACATCGGACACATCCAAAAAATATGTCACTCTATATCCTGAGTCAATTATCTCTGAAAGCAGGTGGGTAGCATGCTACATTAGCAGTACTCTGGAATGATAGAGGTATTAACTGGTACCACTCATTCTGAAGATTACTGCTTTACAGTACATTGTGAGATCTGGAACTACTAGAACTCCTTATTTTTCACTTTTATTTTTACTATTATTTCCCTTGAGATTGTTGACTTTTCGTTCCCCCATATGAATTTTGGTTTTGGAGGAAGAGGTTAGAGCTCAAAAAAGCAACCCTTTGGTAATCTGATTGGTATAGAACAGATTAAGCAAATTAATTTGGGCAGTACAGTCATTTTTATCATACAAACTCAGCCTATCCATGAGGAAGAAAATTTTTTTTCCAATTATTTAGATCTGTCTTTATTTCTGTAAAAAGTTTTTCCACTTGAGTGGTCCTGGGTATTATTCCCTTGGGAGTTAATATGTGTCTTATTCAATTTCTTTTTCTCAGACTAAGTTGTTTAACCTCTCTATTTCTTCTTCTGTTAATCTGTTTTTTTATATCTTTTAAAGTAACCATCCATTTCTTTTAAGTTGCTGGGTTTTTGGCATATAGTTGGGTAAAATAGTTTCTAATAATATCCTTTATTTCTTTATACGTTGTGATTTCTTCTTTTTTATTTCTGATAGTAGTAATTCATTTTCCTTTTTTTAATTAAAATTAACTAATTACATTTTCCTACCCAAAAAAAGCTCCTTCCATTTAGTAATTCTTTTTTTTTAGTTTTCAATTTTATTAATCTCTTCTTTGAGTTTCTAAACTTGTATTTTAGTATTTAATCATGGATTTTTAATTTCTTAAGTTTTCTATGCCTTATTTTTCTTTTGGTATATTCCCAATTCATTGATCTCTTTTCTCTCCTTTGTTGATAAAAGTGTTTAAAGATGTGAAGTTTCCCTTAAGGACTGCTTTAGTTGCATCACCAAAACTCTAGTATTTTGTCTTATCCTTCTGGTCTTTAATAAAATTATTTATCATTTCTATGATTTATTCTTTGATATACCAATACTTCAGGATTAAATTATTTCTAGTTGATTTTAATTCTTTTTCAATGGCTCTTTATTAAATATAATTTCATTGCACTGTAGTCAGTAAATTATATTTAATATAACTGTTTTTCTGCATTTGTTTATAAGATTTTAATGCCCTAAAACACAGTCAATTTCTGTAAAGATGATATACACAGGTGAGAATGATGTGTGTATATACACTTTCTTTCTACTGTCATCAAATAAAATTGCTAGAGATCTATCATATCTAACTTTTCTAAAATTCTATTCAGGTCCTTTACTTCTTTCTTGTTTTTTGTTTTTGTTTTTTAAGATCTGTCTACTATAGTTCTGCTCTATATTTCTCTTGGTGATCCATTTAGCTGTTCTTTTTAGTATTTAGGTGCTAGCCATTCAATGCATACATATTAAGTACTGAAATTTATTTCTTGTATGTGGTATATTTCAGCAAAATGTAATTACTATTTATCTCTTAATCAAGTCCATTCTTGCTACAGTTTTGTCTAAGATCATGATTACTACTCCTGCTTTTTTTTTTAATTCAGCTAAAGCACAAGAGA